TTTCACTATATTATCAATTGAAGTACAATATATAGCATCACTATATCAAATTGATATTTTGGAAAATTTTTGTCATAGTAGAAAATTCTCAACCTCGACACTACATGTTGGGGATAAAGAAGATAACACGGATAAATTGAGAGTCGTGTATAACACTTTCAGATTGGGAACACTATTTTTGATAAGCATTAGCATTTTTAATAAAATCTTAATGATGTAGATTAATTTTGAAAATGCTAACACTAAAAGCTATCGTCAAATTAAATAGTGATGATAGTTTTTTCAAAATATTAACTTCTAACGCTGATACCAAACGAGACCGAAATAAAAAGTGCTTTTATAATCACTCGTCTCACTCCCATGATTCAATTCAACTAGGGGTGGGCGCAGTCCGTGATGGTTCGTGATACTACCGGAACCTATCACGGACCGCTATTATTTAAACGCGCGGTTCGGTATCAGTACGGGATGAACTCCAATACCATTCGGTACCGTTCCGTTTTGAAACGGAACGGTACAATACCATATCCATGCTCAAACCGTACCAAAAAAAATGAACGTACATTACTTAAATAATATTGAATTTAATGTATAAATTTGCATAAAAAAGCACAAGAATGTTAAATAAAAGTATTGATTTCAAATTTAAACGGATCATAAATATAAAGAATAAAAGATAGCGAGTCCAAAGTTAAAAAATAATATTGGAATACTAATAACTATAAAAAAAATTAATGCCAATAGTAATGATAAATATAATAACAACAATAATAATGAGAGAGTTTAAAAATGAATAATAAAATACGAAGTACTCTATACACGGTAAGATGAAGTAGACAAATGCTCCATAATTATTTGAGATACGCAGGGGCGGATGCACTAGTAAATAATTGGGGGCCAATGCCCCAACTAAATTTTGGTGCTAAGTTAATTTTTTTAAAAAAAAAAATTAAATTCTTATGATTTGGGGTGCAAGCCCCCATCTAAAATTAGGATTGACCCCATCTTAAATTATTTACTCCCTATAAAAATGAATGGAACCTAATTTAATTAAACTAGTTTTTAATTGTTTTGTTTAATTTTATTGAAGTAAAGTGTATTTTATTGCATTATATTTATTGTTTAAAATAAAATTTTATATTACCGATTAAATAAAAATTTACATTCAATAAATGTTTAAAATAAAATTTATTTTTTTTTTCATTTCAAATTGTCTATTTTTTTAAAAAAATCAGGGGCGCTGCCCCGACCATTTGTGCCCCCATCTACATGAATTTCTAGATCCGCCACTGGAGATACGTACTCCGTATATAGCATTGGATGGTTCGGTCCGTGATAATCGGTTTTAAATAATTGTATCACGATCCCGTCCCATTAGGTATCGGTTCGGTATGGTTCGTGATGAAAAAAATCAATCCCGTTTGAAAACACTATAAACAGTTCGGTACCATTACGGTCCGGTATGGTACCATGCTAGTTTGGGTTTTTTGCCTACCCCTAAATTCAACAATTGTCTAAAAAATATAGCTACTCATTTTTTGATAACTTTTTTGGACATTTTGACAACTTGTTAGAGCATCTCCAACGCAATTTGGAAAAAATGTTCGGCAAAAAGCTAAAATGACTTGTGAATAGTATCTAAGCTAAAATCTTTTTTTGAATAATGCTTTACGGGTTGAAATTTTCAATTCCTCTCTTTTTTTGTGGAAAGACTTAGCTGTGAATAGAATAAAGAGGCAGATCATTTCCCTCAAAAAGATTATATAGCGCTTCGAAGTTCAATACAGCCAAGGGAATGCAAAAATCAACAAGCCATTTTCTGTACAGTACAGTGCAATACGTACTACTCCGTATTTCATTATACTCCCTTCGCCCAAAAAAATTATCACACTTTTATTTTTTGATCAAACTGTACGACACGACACTTTGACAATAAATTAAATGTTTGTTTTAAATAATTAAATTTTATATTTTAAAATGATTGAATTTCATTAGTGCTGGACACGGTACCGGTACAGTACCGCTACCGGCAACGGTACTGCCGGTACCGGTACCGTCACCACCGGCGTCACGTCTCTCCGGTTCCGGGGAACCGGTACCCGCACCACCCCCCACGGTACCGGTTCCAGTGCCAGTATTTTGGTACCGGCACCGGTTCCGGTACCCATTGAATTTTTTTTTGCTTTTCCCAGTAGATCGACCGGCACCTATTTCCACCTCTCTTTTTCTTGTTTCTTCAGCCTTATGCTCTGCTTCAAGGATGGCCAAATGCCCAGGTAGAGTTTGAACGGAGTATATGTTTAGGAGTTAGGACGGTATATTATTTTTTTATTTCATTATTTCCCTTAACTATTACATATTTACAATTTTAAACTTTTAAAAATTTAAAACAAAAAGCAAAAAAAATTGGAGGTTGCCGAAACCGGCCGGTTCGGTACCGGAACCGCCGGTCTGGGTACCGGAACCAGTACCGCCCGGTCCGGTCACGGTACCGGTACCAAGGGGTGGCGGTACCGGAACCGGCGATTCCGGAACCGGAACCGTCCCGGAACCGTACCGTGTCCACCCCTAAATTTCATAAATAGTCCCTAATTACATGTATTTTTTATATTTTATCTCCAGAACTAAGATATTACTTAAATGATCTTACATTTTTGAAAACTATTCTTGGAATGGTCCTTATGGTCATATATTAGTCTAGAGCTGGTAAATCGGTCAGTCAGGTCAGGTTCGGGTTCGGTCACTTCGAGTTCGGATTATTTCAGGTTCGGATCAATTCGGGTTCGGGTTGAGAACTGTATGTTCATGACCCAATGTCATCGGGTTCGGGTCGACCCAACGGGTTATGACTTTGATTTTTAAAATTTTTAAATTAACATTAACACTTATATTTTCTATTAAATAATTCAAAATAAATGTATTAAATATATTAGATTATTTTATTTTAAATTCTGAAGTAATTTTTAGATATATAAATCAATATAAAGAATTTAAAAAATGCTTAAGTTTTGGAAAAAAGTAAGATAATTATACAATATCATTAAAATTTTGTCTGAAAATATAAAATTATACACTAAAAATGAGTAGTAAAGTGTATGATTTTAAAAAAATTCTTACTTTACCAGGTCGGGTTCGGGTTCGGTCGGGTTTGACCCATTTTTAACAGGTCATTTCGAGTTCGGTCAACTTCGGATTCGGTCATCAAAACTTTTGTTCAAAACCCAGTGTTTTCAGGTCGGATTTCGGGTCAAAAACAGGTCGGATCAATTTTTTCCAGGTCTATATATTACAAAATACTTTTGTACAAATTTCCACAAAGGATCGATTATGAAATAGTTATCAAAAATTGAAGATTATTTATGTAATATCTTATCATTATGGACTAATTATGAAAAATTACTTCTAATCAATGAATATTTATGAAATTTATTCTTTTAAAATCAACCTAAGTTTACTAAATTTCCATTATTATTAAATATGTAATCCTTCTATTCTAAAATATTTTTCCCGTTTTTTGCTTAAGAGGTTTCACCGACTTTATTTTCAATTCAATTAATGTAATTGTAGTTGTAACATTTAAATTCTACAAAAACAAGAGGTAATAAGACTATATCATTTTATCAAATAATTAGTGAAAAAAGTAAAGAAAGGGAAAAAGATTGAAGGAGTAAAACATTGAAAATATTTCAAAAAAAAAGAATTCTATGTTTTTATTTCTGAAATTGAAGTTAGAATACATTTGTATTACCAACAGATATAGTAAAATGTTCATGTACAATGTCATATTATGATAATACAAACTTTTATTTAGAAAATAAAAATATAGAATTCTAATTTTGAAATTTTTAAAAAAAGTAACCGAGTAATTAAAGTTGGATGGTGGTATGAAAAATGGAAATTGGAAGAAGATGTTCCGACGGAAGAAATAATAATTTTCGAAAATCTGAAATTTCAAAATATTCAAAATGGCTCCGTATTTATACTCCAACGTCCGAAATACTGCGTATTTATACTCTGAAATCCGAACAGGCGATATCCGCAGTTTAGTGCCAAAAGGTCTTTTTCTGAGCTCGATTTCAAAAGGGCTTTTACGCGGAAACGATGATTTTGGCTTTCTTTCTTGAATTACTCACTCTTGTCTCCATTTCTCTTCCTCAATTCTGATGATATAAATACAGTATGAGGTTTCCATTGTTGATCCAATCCCGTTCTCCGACGCTTAACGAACGCCAAACCCTAAATCACCCGCATCTCAAGGTTCGATGGAAGCTTTCATGGCAATCCGCTGTCGATTGAGACGATCCGAACCTTCTATCATGCTCCTCTTGCATTGTTCGATTCTTCTCAGCTCGATCCCTGGTAAATTCACAATAATCCCTCCGTAATTCGTGTCTATTGATCCTGTAAATCTGGGTCGGTCTTAGGTTCATAAGAAATCACTAAGAATAAAAAATAAGAGTTCTATGTTTTTATTTCCTAAATGAGATTTTGCACTGTGTTAGGCAATGTAAATGTATTTTAACTCCTATTTCGGTAATAAAACATCAAACCTCTATTTTGGTATATTTTCAATGTTTTATTCCTACTTTATTCTTTTTCCTTTAGTTTATTGTTTGATTCTTCTGATTAAGCTAACGAAGAAACAGTTGCTAAAAAAAATTAAAAATTCTGTTTTTAATGGCTTCGCAGAAATGATATCAGCAGCGAATGTTACACTTGATTCCATTCAAATATTCCAGACTCATGAGCTGACCGGTCACGACCCGACTGTTTATTTTCAGTGTAAAGATGAAGAGAAGATAATTTTGTCTGATGTGAAGGACAAAAACACTCCGTATAGCAATTTTACCGAGGTGTGTTATCCTTCCTGCATATACATTAATTCTGATAGTTCAATTGATAGTGAAGCTCGCGTAGCTTACTGTTGTAGATCATGACTTGAAGACTGCTCGAAGTTCTTCCCTATCTGATATGAGTTCGTATCAGGTTGTGTCAGTTGTCCTTCCCTTAGAGTTAATTGATGTCCATGAATTTATTATCCCCTTAAAAAAACAACATGAAGTTGTGGTTCTTTGATGGATGCACTTTAGTTTGGAGGTAGGCTATTAATGAAATACAGTGCATATATAATTTGTGTTACCTTCAAATTGCGATAACCCCCAACTCTTAAGACACATTAGTGCTTCCACTATTTTGGGAAGTAGTCCACTTCGACTAGGACTAATGATTCTACCACTTGCACTAAAAGCACTTTCTGAGGCTACTGAAGTAATAGGAATGACCAAAATATCTCTAGCAATCTTTGAAAGAATAGGAAATTGTTTTGCCACAACACTCCAATAAACCAAGATATCAAACTTTTCAAGATCTGCTATCATCACATCATCATCTAAATACACATCAACTTCCGATCGTAAATGCTTTTTCCTTGGCATAGTAGAAACATGTCTTTCCTACTCCATATCATCCAAATCAGAAGTAAGACACATTATTAACACTTGAAGATGAAATATACTCTTCACTTCTCACTAAAGATCCTCTCTTCTCATAATCAACTAAAGAATCCAACAATGCTTTTACTCTTTCAAACTCGGTGCTGGCACGTGCTCCATAAAGCTTCTCAAAGTAATACGTAACATGTTCCATCTTTTTCCTTGGATCCAACAAAGATGCCACAGCTAAAGTGCCATTAATTACCCCCCAATATTTATCAAATTTTTCGCTCATTTGATTGGCCATATTTTTTTATAAGTGTAGACTCTGATGCTTGCCAATTAATTAACGCGAGTCGAATTTGACAAACTTTTTGAAAATATAAATTGGCTGTTGGATACTTTTGGCCAGAGAAAGTAATTGTTACCTTGGAAAATATAGCCAACTTATCACAAACTTCACGAGCTCTTTCCCACTCACTTTCCTCAGCTAAAACAAATTTTTCTTTTTTTAAACACTGTCTCAACCTGTAAATTGCATCTTTATACAACAATGCAATCTCGAGCATCTCATATGTAGAATTCCATCTAGTTTTAGAGTCTAGAATCAATCTTTTTGTTTCAAGAATCTTAACATACCTTAAAGCACCTTCAAACTTTTCATCTCTCTTATGTGTGGCAACCCATTAGGCAACTATATCACGCACTTTCCCAATTGCCTTACCAATAACACTCAACCCATCTTGAACAACCAAATTTAGTATATGTGCACAACATCTCATATTCAAAATAGTCCCTTTCAAAATTAATTTAGATGGATTGAACTTTTCACGCAAATCATCAATTATCCCATCATTCTCTAAAATCAATTTAGATGGATTCGACTTCCCAAGCAAATCATCAATTATCCCATCATTTGTTGTGCAATTATCAAGGGTTATAGTCGATACCTTCTCATCCAAATTGAAATTGACTAAAGCATTCATCAAAACTTTTGCGAGTGCGCCGCTCATATGTGGAGCTGGCACATATATAAACCTAGGAAGAAACAATTGACATTAATAAGCAAGGAAAATGTATAAAAGTTTATTAGATTATGATATTTACCTCAAAATGTGATGTTGTAACTTCCAATCATCATCAATAAAATGGCCTGTCACTGCCATATAACCTTTCTTTTTGTTTTTTGCTGACCACATATCAGTAGTAATGGCAACTCTCCCCTCAATTGAAGACATGCACTTCTTCAAAATAGACTTCTCATCATTGAAAGCTTTAGTAATATCTGCTTTTATTGTATCCCTTGACACAACTTTAAATTCAGGATTCAAGCTAGCAGAATATCTTTTAAAGCCAATATGATCAACAAGAGATAGAGGGTACTCATGTAAAACAATCATATTGCCGAACTCCATTCTAGACACTTCTTGACTGAATTTGTACTTTCCAGGAACATATGGCATGTTAGGATCTTTTCTAAAAGAAGCTTGAATGAGTTGTTGTCTGACATCCACTTTCTGTTTGGATTTCATGCAACTATTCAAATGATTTTTTAGATGTGTAGTGCCACTTTTCCCTGATCCAGCATATTTTTTGCCACAACTATGACATATTGCAAGTAGTTTATTGTCTATCAATTCCCTAGAAAAATGTTTCCACACAAAAGATTTTAATCTTGTGGACCCTTGATCATCTTTGGTTGAATCTACTTCAAGGGGTATTTTTGAAGATGCTGGAGCACTTGCTTTTTGTACATCGCGTTCCTTTTTTGTTGACTCTTGTGTTGATTTAACATCATATTCACCCATCCTAAAATGCAACATATATTTATATTAATATAACAAGCCAACAATAATATAAATTGATTATTTTCAAAACCAGATTATTTATATTAAGAATTACCTGATTCTTGCAAACCAATAAGTCATCTACTTCTAAAAACCAGATTTTGATGCACAATTATCAACTAATTATTTTCAAAATCTAAATAAAAAATAAAATCTAGAACCTAATTATTTATACAACAGTCAACACCAATGATTTGCAGGCAAAGTAAGTTATACTTCAAATTACCATACTTACAACCTAATAGGCCAACTTCTGTCATTTTATAACTTTAGTATTTCAAATTACCACTTACCAGTACTCTTAGTGTTAGGCAATTGTAATGGTCGGCCAGATTTATGGAACTTGGAAGTGTTCCTCCCAAATTCAAGTATTCTTCTAAAACTAATGATTTGTCTAACTAAAAATCAATTGCCGACCATAGTATACATCAAGAATAATTGTTTGCACTTATTATATGAGGATATGAAAGGAGGTAATACCTGAGGAACTACACGAAGAGGAGGTCGATCGGTGAAGAAGAGGGGCTGAGGGGCTCCCGGTAAAGCAGTGGATGAATCGCGGTGGTGGATTGACCGGAAACTTCAATCGCCAGAGAGTCGATCGAGGAGTTGAAGACGGCTGGAGTACTGGACTAGTGGACAAGTAGAAGAGGGCTGGAGACAGTGCTGGACGGCTGGGTAATGGGGGGTGACTTACGGTTAGGGTTTTTTAAAAAACATACGGAGTATATTTTTGTTGGTTTTAATGTCGGGTCAGTCGGGCACGGGTCGGGTCGGTCATATTTAATCCCTTGAAACCGACCCGACAAAGGTTGGGTTCGGTTTTAATTTTATCGGGTCGGTTTCGGATATTAAATTTCTTGGTTCGGATTTGGATATTATAAGCTCCGGTCGGGTCGGTAAAAGTCACATTCGGGTACAATTGCCATCCCTATCGGCCACGGTGATCACTAAATCTTGTTCCACGACCCCTGCTGGCCTGCCTTAACTCAGTTTTCTGCCTTTCTTGCCATTTAGCCCTTGTTAACAACAATTGATCTGATGAATCTTTGACTGGTCCACCAGGAGTAATCCGTTCCTCATAGGCCTTAAGGCTACCGACAGCTTCCTCAAACGCCATAGTATTCAAGTCTGAATACTGTTCTATTGTGGCAACAATTGGAAGGAACTTGTTTGTGGCAGAATTAAGCAACTTATTTACTTGTTACTTCTCCTCAATTGTCGATCCAAGTGCCTGAACCTTAGACACGATCTTGCGGATCTTGCTTTCAAAATCATCAATACTCTCACTTTCCTTCATTCTCAGAATCAATACTCTCACTTTAAGAACTACTCCAATGCACTTCTTTAATTTTTGTCCCTCAGTTTTTGTCCCTCCGTCCCTCAGTTTTTGTCCACTTATATTTTTGCACATCATCCAATGCACTTCTTTAATCCATTTTATCTTGTAATTTGTATATTAAAAAATTATAGAAATTATATATTAATAATCTATATGTTAAGACAAATCAAACAAGATCACACATGACTATATTTAGGCTTACACATTGAGAGAATTTGATGAGTCAAAGTGCTTAGATGAACAGTTCCAAAAGTCAAAAGTGGACAAAAACTGGGGGACGGAGGGAGTATAAAAAAATAAAAGTTAACACATAAATTACATAAAATAATTGGTTTTATGTTATTGGTTTACAAGTTTTTGATTTTATTTTGCAATTACAAAAAAATGATTTTTGGGTTTAGTTCTATTTTGCAATTACAATTATTTTGAACACAATAAATTACAATAAAATATTATTATTTTTTACATTTTTGGTTTGATACAAAATAATTGTAACTAACTTTTATTTTCTTAAAATAATTATTATTGATTACATATGTCTGATTTTAATTGCTGGGAGTCTTGGAAGTGAGTATAGGATTTCAAAGACTCCTTTCGTGACTCTCCATCAGACTCTCTCAAAACTCTCAAAGACCTATGTTTGTTTCAGCTGTGAACAACTATGAAAAGTGTTGTGCTTTTTGTTTGTGTCTAGCAGACTTGTTACTTGTTAGTAGTGTGACACTTGTAATAGATCAAGTTTGGGAGCAACTTTTTCTGCAAACCACATTCTATTCTTTTTAAGAAGAAGGAAGACATTATCAACGCATTATAGGCATTTAGATCTTCAACGAGTAAGGGTCAAGTTGGATTAAGACAGGTTCCATGAATCACCATGAATTACTTGCATTCATCATGATTTGTGGATGTGTCCGTTGTTTGCACATGGACTAGATCCATCAAGATCATATTACATATTTATCGGCTGAAGTTTCATATTGTCTGTGTTCATGGTGTGTGCCGTATGAATTATGCATATGGAGAACGTAGATAAGTCACCTGATCAATCATAATGTGGTATTGGAATTGCATTCATTTTCAGCCTATGACACAATTCATAGATGAGAAATGCAAGCAATGCGGATTCTATGAGGAAGACACATTTGACGGAGATGAGACGTTTGACAAGTGGGAATTTTGCCCTTCTAACTTTACAAGTGCTGGTGGAAAATACACACATTTCAAGGAAAATGAGGTCAGCGCAACATTTTCGTGTCCAGATTGCGTCACTCTTGTAGGCAGTGATGCCGGTGAGTGCTTCTCTCTCTCTCTCTCTCTCTCTGGTAATTCTTCCTTTTTTAGCCTATATAAATGTTTTAGCAGATTATCCATGCCTTGTCCTTGCACCCATGTGATTATTTTCTTAAATCTCAAGTATATGTTTGGTTTAATCTCAGAATATGCAGGCAAAAATGGTCGTGTGTTATGCTTATCCTTTAGATTTTCTAGGTGTATGTATTATACAAATAAACAACAAAGTTGAATTTAAATAAACACAAACATAGCATTTTCCGTGTTCCAAAAAAGACCGTAACATTTCATTTCATTTTTTTTTTGCAGCACCACCAGTTAACTCTTTTTCCCGAAACGATTCATCTCATTTTTTTGCAGCACCACCAGCCAACTCTTTTTCCCGAAACGAGAAACAGGGGTTGAACTGGATAGTAGCACTGCCGGTTGCAATTTTGGTCTTGGCATTTTCAATTCTTGGTGGATAACACAATGGCTTACAAGCATTGCCAGAAGAGCAAAGGACCAAGCAGGAATTCTCAAACTATTTCGGTGATGAGTGTTGTATTTTTCCATATTTGCCTTTTTTTCCCGTCTTGATTCGCTTTGTGTGTTCAACTTTTTATCCTTCTCAATTTACTTTGCATGTTTGAGTTTTCTTGATCAATTTTTACAAATTCAGACCTAATTTAATAATTGAAGTACAATTAGTTACTGTGTAATGGAAATTTACTCATACGAAGTAGAGTAAATTCCATATAAGGTCCCCAGTTATAGGTCGTTTTACATATTTAGTCCCCAATTTTTTTTTTTTGGAAATGTGACGCTAATTCCATATCCCAAAAAAAAAAGTCACAAAACTATTTGTGCCTAAGCCGATGGGGTGAGCCCCATGTTGCTTGATCAAAACGACCCAATTCTTCTGAACTTGTTCCATGCACCGCCTTGATTGTGTCAATGCAGCAACTGCAATAATACAAAGGCTTTGTTTGAGAATAATGTTTTCAATTAACATTAGTATTTTATGCTCATGTATTAGCTTTGAAAATATTAAAATTACATTTTATACTTCCTCAGTCCCAATAAAGGAGTCTTCATTTCCTTTTTAGGGACGACCCAGAAAAAAAAACTCTTTCTATTTTTGACAAATTTTGTGAGTCCCAACATCTTTTTCTCTCCTCTGCATTACTTTCAATCGTACACTTTCACTTTTTTAAACTTTGTAACAAATCCAATTAAGATACTTTTTTTTGGGACGGAGGGAGTAGTATCTTCAAGACGCTAAAGTTGTTACCAAACAAATGCAATGTCATTCTTGCCTTCATTCTTCACAAAACCAAGGACAATTAAACCCAATGAAAAAGTCATGTAAAACAATGTTTATGCAAAACCTGCAAGCTTCCCTGTTGAACTTTTTCTTGTCAATTCCATACAATGTCTCGAATACCTCCGGCTCTGCCCGACAAAAATATGGCCGTTCTATGACAAAAACGAACTCAACCGATTACCAAAGAATGGAGAAAATGAACAATTTAAACCAAACAGAGACACTATATCCCACTTGAGAGTAGGGTTACAGAATTGGGAAATGAACACAGTAAAGATAAAGCAAGAGAATTCACCAGCATATATTGAACACTTTCTTGTGCTCTTCTCAAAGTGTATGCACCAACCATCTTCACCCACCATGCTTTTATACAACTGATGAAATCATAAAATCCACTCATACATATATAAATATGGCCCAACCTAATTTTTTTTAAAAAAAAGAATAGAACACTTGAGGGTTGCTTTTTGCGTTTGGAGATTGCAATATTAAATCTCAAAACTACAATCTAAATATTGCACTAATTCCAACTAAAATTAAAAAAACTAGAGTTCAAACACTAGAAATTCAATAAAGCTAGGGTAACCAAACCATGACCCAAGCTTTGCACACACCACAGAGACTGATATTGTTTGTGTCGCGCTCATACAATAACTGTTTGTGTGGTCTGTGTAAAACTTGAGGGTCATGATTGGGGTTATCCTAGCACGGTTCCTAGAAATTAGACCCTGGTGTCAAGAAAAAACTAGAGTCCACAATTATGAATCTAGATATTGAAGCCTGAAATCTGGAAATTGTTTGAATTCTAACTGGAATTGTGAGAATTGAGTCAACAACCCAGTATAATCTAAACTTCCCTGGGGTCTAGGGGTCAAGATCTACACAAACACAATCTTCCTCAAATAAAAAGTACACTGAGACTGTTTACATTAAACTTAACTTACCTAAGGCTCTATTTGGTACCCAGAATTGAAACTGAATTCAATGGAATTGAGTTCTCCAATTTCTATTCATATTTTGCACTACTAATTCCAAATCCACGTATTTTTATGCTATCAAATAGCAGGATCAGAATGAGAATCTCCAATTCCAATTTCATGAATTGCATTCTCGAAGACCAAACGGAGCCTAAATGCATTTAAGGCCCAAAACTTGGTTAAAATACGGTAAGGCTCCGTTTGGTACACGGAATTCAAATTATGGAATTGGAATTGAGAACTTTTATTCCAATTCTGGTGTTTGGTAGCACAAAAATAATGTGGATTTGAAATTGATAGTGCAAAAAATGAATTGGAATAGGTGAATTTAATTCTATGAATTTGAATCCCATGAAATTTCAATTCCAATTCCATCCATTCCATATTACCAAACGAACCCTAAGAATCAAGAAGTTGATTTAGTTAAAATTGGAAAAAGAACAAGGCGAGCAAAAAAGCGACCTCAATGTCTGAAGGGTCATCGAAGATTTCCTCGGGCGAAGGAAAGTCTTTTTGGGGTTTATGGAGTTTACAGCACGCGCCGCAGTTCTCTATGCATTTCCACACTGGATCCTTCCTCCGGCTCCCGAAGCCTGGTGGATTCTTCTTCGCAATTGAGACGTCGGCGCCGGCAGCGGCGTTTGACTGTTCCGTCGGTTTCGCATTTCGCTTACTCTTACCGCCGTGCTCGGAGTTTCGTCCCCGCCTGGCTGCCGAGCAAATCGCGGCGTTTCGCGGCGGAACCACTGTTGATGACAAGCACGACATTACAATGTTAATAAACTGCGGTGTGGTGTACTTTTGGAACTGTTCATCTAAGCACTTTGACTCATCAAATTTTCTCAATGTGTAAGCCTAAATATAGTCATGTGTGATCTTGTTTGACTTGTCTTAACATATAAATTATTAATATATAATTTCTATAATTTCTTAATATACAAATTACAAGATAAAATGGATTAAATAAGTGCATTGGAGGTGTGTAAAAATGAAAGTGGATAAATACTCTGGGACGGATGGAGTATCATTTTTCAGGAATGGTCCTTTGTTAACGTTTATGTTAAGAAAATGCATAAAATTGTTAAGAAAATTGTTAACTCATTATTTAATAAAATAAAATATTTCATGATTTAATTTGTATATTTTATTTTGAGAAGGATATATTTTGTATTTTTAATGCCAATTTATAATTAAAATTCTTTATTATACTTCCTCATCCATTAATTTCTTTCTTACTTTTATTTATGAGTTATCCAAAAATTTCTTTCTCGTTTCTTATTTTGACAAACAACTTTTAATGAATGTGTCATTATATCCATACTTTTTTCTCTACACAATTTACTTTATTCCATCACATCAAAGCAATATATGAAAAGATTTATACTTTTAACTTTTCTTGATATCCATGTCAACTCAAATGAAGAAAGGAACTTTTGGGGGGTGGATGATATAAAAAATAGACTCTAAACTCTAAGAACATGACATATGACATAGTTTATGTGGCATCTACATAAACAATTTAAAAAATATTTTTTTAAAAGAATGGAATATTTACGTGTCATTGCTCATTTTCCATTAGGGAAATAAAAAAGAATAGAATATTAACTTTCTTTTTAAATTCGTCCCACTTCAATTATTTTCTTCCTTTCCTTTCACTCATGTTCCAAAAAAGAATATTTACCTTTTCAAAAACTAGTTAATAAAAATAAAAAATTACACACGAGTTTTAGATGAGTGAATATTTTTTTACAAAAGTAATATAGCCATGTAAAATTATATACTCAATTATGCTACATCAAAGATCTAAAAATCTATATTATATTTAGGAGGGCGTATTCAATTAGGATTTTATTTGATTTTTTTTTTGATTTCAAAAAGTTAGTGGATTTAAAAAATCTATAGAGTCCATGGAGAGTGTAGAGTTTGGTTGAATTTTTTGTAGAATTCATGTAGAGTTTGAAAAATTCGTAGAATCTATGTAGAGTTTAAAAAATATGTGAAATCCAAACATCACTTCTGTTCGAAAGTCCAACACAGATGTCGATCACCGTACAATCACAGTAGGAAATGAACAACGCCGGTGGATGACGGAGCGACGCACATGGACAGGCGGACAAAAAACTCGTGAAGGGACGGAGGGACATACAGACGTTGGAGGACGAACAGATAGATGCTGGAGGACGGACGCTGGATGACGAATGGATGGAAATCCATAGAAATCTAGAGAAAATCCAACAAAATCCATAGACTATTAAAATTCATGGACTCTTGAATACTTCAAAATTTTTAAAGACTTTTGAAAATCTAAGTTGAATACTTCAATATTTCTAAACACTTTGGAAAATCACTATTGAATACCTTAAGATTTTTAAAGACTTTTGAAAATATACTTTCCAAAATCTATATTTATGTCTCTTCATTTATAACAAATTTTTAGAATAAATAGAATACAATTGATAAAAAATGTATCACCATGACATAGTATGTTTACATGAACATTCTTTATCATTTCAACAATAAATTTAATTATGGAATAGAGAACTCTGCTTATATTATAAATTTTTTTCTAATTTTATATTTTTCACTTCATTTATAATAAAGCTTTGAAAGAATAAATACATTTTCCTTCCTTTAAAAAAAATGTTGGATAATGTGCTATCATGAATATATATTTTTGCAATGTCCTTTGCCCATTGTCTTTTTAGGTTTTGATAATGACAAAAGGGTGACAAAACATCATCATCATTTTGTGCATCAAGGCTAAGAATCAAAGCTACAACAAGTTCATATCCGTCTGTGAAGAAGGGACTTGAGCATCGGTGGAAGGAACGAGACCGAAGAGGTTGTTTCCTTAGTTGGGTAGTGTTTTAGGTCTTAGATTATGTGTTAAAGAGTATGACATCTCTAAGGTTCATTCCCTTATCATCTTACCTTTAAAACACATTTTAGATCAGCCTTTGTATGGAGAAGTTGCCTATCTATTCGAATAATCTTTAGTTTATTTGAATAAGTCGTGATCTTTCCTGTGACTGAAATCAACCTGTTTTGTTCGAATAAATCAACACTTATTCGAATAAGTCCTGGTTTTTCAATCTGATTTATTCGAATAAATCACCATTTATTCGAATAGGAACTGGTTTTTCAAGTCACGTGATTGATCCAAACTATTCGAATAGTTCTTGAGTTATTCGAATAAGTCGACAGTTTCAACTACCAAACGGCTAATTTTTTTGAAATCTTTTCATCTCTATCCACTCCCTAACTTCTATAAACAACCCTCTTCGTGATTATATTGATAAGAACACTTAGAACACTTTGAAGAACATATCCTTTGAATATCCCAAGAGATTCTACTCAATCCCCTCCTTATATCCAAGCAAGGCAATTGTTTTGATTGCTAAATCATTTCT